CGACCGTTCTGAGTTGCAGGCTTTTTGCCCTGTGTGACTGTCTTCACTAAAAAAAATCCACAGCAACCCTTTCGGATCGACACAGCGATTTGGAAATAATTACAATATTTGATATTTAAACTTTTGGCGAGAAATCTTACAGTATTTTCCCACCAAGATGAGAGGTACAACGGAGCATGTGCGTCATTTCTCCTGCAAGAACGACAGTCGCTTCCCGCAGTGCTCGAATAGAAAATGGCGTCCCATTGGGATCCACACGATTACCAGCGACCTCCGCGCTTCCCCGTGCCCCGTTGTTCGGCAGCACCTTGACTTGCAGGGTGAGTTTTATGACGGTATGAAATGCGGGACATTTTGAAGATTTGGGAATTTCTCGGGGGACGCGGGACACGAGCCCTCAAGTCGCGGGACGGGTGGTCACCCTACCTACAAATTCTTTGACAGGCCTTGACCCTCGAGATGTGTACAACATCTGCAAATGTCCTGCGAGGAATGCTTCGAGTCAGCACCAATATCACCGTGCTAAGAGCATGGGAAGACTTTTTATATTGTCATATGGTTGTGTATGTTTACATACTCATGGTTGTGATAAAACTGTCAATAAAAACGTGTTTCACTGTCAAGAAAACATTCTCAAAAGCATTGAATTATGCTGTTGTACATTCATGAAAACTGTTGAAAACATATCAGCCACCTTTTTTTTATTATTAATTTGTGTGTGCTAGAAATATTTCGAAACAAACTTTATTCAGGGGAGCAGAAATTAAAAACTGGCAAGCATGGATTATGTTTCTAGAAAATAAAAAGGGTTATAATAATGGCAACATAACCTGTGTCCCTGTTGTTTTCTTGGGTACACAACATTTTCTTTCTAAAATGTCCCACACAGGAAACTATGAATCAAGCCTCCACCCAATATTTGGAAATCTTACATGTAGATTGGATATCTTGAACCTGAAAGAGAAACTAAGTTTTATTAGACGTGCATCCAACTGAACATTGTCATAAAAATTCGACTAAAATTATGTATAGGAGGTATTTATCTGCAAATCTGCATAGGTGGCATTTATGCTGGAGATTTAGCCTCGGCTAGCCTATTTCCGTTTTCAACTTTTTTGCAGCTCTTTTGGAGAAAATCTCACGGCATATTATTGCTCCAACTTGCAGAAAAAGTAGTTCCATTAATCAGCAGAAGCAGGTCCCAGCAACCGCAACCTACTGCCTCGGTGAAGTGGGACCAAAATAGCTGTCAATAAATCCACGATGTCTTTGTTCAGGTCGTGCCCCGACGTCTTAGCTCCCTACTGTTGAAGCAGACTGCTGCAGGAAGCGTGTTACGCAATACTTATACAATTAAGGAAATCGTCGGCACAATGCTCGCACCGGTCCCCGACACGCTAATATTTCTTCGACGTGGACGAGTCCGAAACGCAATCCCACTCGTAGCCTGTAGCGCGAGAACAAAGCCTGCCGGTGGTTCAACGACCGAAAAAGAGTCGTCTCACAGGACGCACGAGAATAGTTTTTCATTTTGATTAGTAATCTTTCTTTTAAGAGGAGAAAGCTACAACGTGATTTCAGCGCAAAATTTAAACAAACATCGCTCAACTGTAAAGTGATCTCGTAGACGTCGTACGGCCGCACTTGTGAGGCGGACCGACTCGTTGGTGGGGCTTTTAACCGCCTTCTCGACGGAAGATGCCGATTATTGAAGCTTGTCTATCGTTTCTTGACTCACAATGTAAATTAATTATCTTTTTTTAAATTTCTACCGTGCGCTTTAAACACGTACCTGCGATGCCAATTCGACGCGACCGACGGGACACGACTGTGTTTTGTACGGCGGAGGCGCTACCATCGCAATTTAGAAGCGCCCCATGGTTGGACGCATAGTTCCTATTAGCGGCTGAAATCAAAGCTGCTTGATGGATATCATGTAGCCTTTTCTGACCAAGGTGACCGCTTTGTGTTTTCTCGTGATCGCTTACGACTAGAACGCATTGGCGGCATCTGCCAAATAACCCTCCAGCAGTTTTTATTTTTTATTTTTTTTTACGCTTTACTTTCTTTCTTTTTTTTTTGTGGCTAGATATGATTTTCGCAATGTAATGAGCGACCGTTTCTCATGGATGGCCCGTATATCTGATATCGCGTATACTGCCTAACTTTCAGTTTTCGATACCCAGACCGGAATTTTTCCAGGGTTACCGGAGCGACGGCGCCTGTGTGTTCTCTCGCAAAGGTGTTATCCACATCTGGGTTGCTGTCGAATGGTATTATCGGTTTCACTGTCCCCTTCCCTTATGGAGCCCTCCTCGAAGTCAAAGCACTTAATCAAGCAATGGCACGCACCGGAACTGTCAAATACCGGCGTGCTAATTCCACCCCGGTGTGAGTTCCAGGGCCGTTCCGAACGCACGCCTCCGGAAGGGTGGCAGGACAGCAAATAGGACGAGCCCTCCGGTGCATCTGAGAAGTGATTTCAGTCCACTCAAGGCCGAATCCGAAGAAGAAATTACCTAGGTGCCAGGATGACTTCGGTTACCGGCGGGGTCGATTCTCAGGCCGGCCTTTCCGGATCTGGGGTGGTCGCGAACGACAGCCAAGTTTATCGAGGTTATTTTAACCCAATACTGGGGAAGAATGAGGAAATTCTTTTGCAATTGGTCGAGCTGAATATGATCTATGTCCATCCTGCGATGCGTTCGGTGACATCGTGGTATGCTTTGTAAAAGCAGGACTTATATATCTGAAAGAATATCACTCAATACTCGATGACGTGTAAAAGATTATAATTCAGTAAGGCTACATCATCTGCTTGGTCCTTGCTCGGTCTTCCGCCGTCAGAAAAAGCAACACCACACACAAAAAACGCCTGAATTAAGCAGACTTGTTTTCAAATCAATATATTCGATACAACCGTCATTATTGTTACTTCATAGAGCAGACGTATACTCTGAAACACCACAAATGTTAGTTTGCCGTCTACAGCGCGACACGTTAAATCATTTTATATTTAATACCAGCTATACTCCCTTCCGGGGGGCCCTAGACTCGTCAAGCACAAAGTTTACGGGGCGCGCTGATTGTACTCATGACGATGGCGCCGAAGTCTAATCGGGCGGTCCGCGAACTTTCGGCTTCAAATTTCTGTTTGGCGAGACTAGAGCTCCAGATGTGCCTCTATTTTCCGGTGTAATGTGTTTTCCTTTTTACCAACTGTAAACAAAAATGGTTTGACTCATCATTTAACAAGAATACCAACTGTACATACAACCGGTGTCTGCTGCGCATGGGAACTCGAGTTGTTATTCACGGTTGTTGGTATCTATCCAAATGGAAGTAGTTGTGCGATTGTTAACAACCGTGAACTACGCAATGCTTATATTATCTCAAAGGAAAGGTCGCTCATCTACTTTTATACAGAGCACGCAGTATAGAAAAACGCATTAGCGCTGCCAAAGCTAGCGCTCCAGAGAGAGTGTAACTCAAAGTTCAAGTCTCTTGCGGTCGCACATCTCGGCTTCGATCCTGCCTATTTCACGTCTCCCCGTTTCCTCAAAAGCCCATGCTTGTTCCCTCCCCCTCGCTTTCTTCTTGCGCAGATTCCCAGAATATGTGTGTGCGGTCCCGCAGCACAGTGGCAACCTTTTAAACTCGCTTTACCAGCGTTCGCTGCTAGCGTAGCTTGACCAACACAAAGAACATTTTTATATTTATTTAAGCGCTTTCACATTTCCCTTGTGATTTTTTTATCCGGTTGTATTTTCGTGTGACACGTTTTCATGCCAGGAATCTACGTTGCTTAAAACTGCTAGGCTATACCATATTCTTGGTTAAAGTTTTACTTTCTCTTTCTCTCTTGTGTGAATTGCGTAACATTCCAACTCAATATTGTAATATGACCCCTTTAAAGAAACAGCTATGCGGTGCGTTTAGTTATAAATATAATACTGGTGGAATACCAGTTCTCAGCGCTCGTTGCATGGGCGGGATTCGCTCGATTAATGGTTTAATATGTAGAGCGTTATAAAGCTGTCGCACTCAGTATGCTGATCATGACTCGATCTAAAAAGGTATGTTCAGTTGTTTTACTAGACAATTAGGGTACCCTTCCTCTGCATTGCTGAGGGGGAAGGTGCGTCGAAGTACCTTATTCGTAGCACAGAACTCAGCCTCATTTCGACTTTTGTCGCATTCAGTCCTCTGGTCCAACGTAATCACTGCAGTATTCTCCCGGGTGACTTTCCAGGGCACATGTTTTATTGATTGATTGAAATATGAATCTATCGACTGTTTTTTCTTTATTATTGAACGAGTATAAATAATGGAAGGCACGATCACAGATCAAACTATGCCATAAATTGCGGGCTTCCCCGCTTAAACAAACGAATAAAAAAAGGACTCGATGGAAACCAATGCGTTCCATGGAAGGCTGTGTGTCAAAACTATTCGTACTTAACTTTCAAACTTACGTGCTGTTTATTGTGCTTTACAATAAGAGTATTTCTTCCACCTTGCTTACTGCTTAACTCTAGGTATATAGCCCCTGGGTTACTTTACTTGAACGCAAGCAATTATAATAACGATGTTTGTTTTCATTTAAAGACATGATGGAGCATGAGGGGAAAGCTTCGATATTTAGCTCGACACGACCTGAGCTCATTCGGTGCGGGGCTCAGGAACTTCATGTACTTTTTTTTATGTGTACTTAACGTCTTCATCTCAGTGTCCTCGTCTTAATGTCTTCGAAAATGTTTGAACTGTTCTTGCTATTTTTATTTTTATTTTCTTATATCCTTGGCAACTGTGGTCTTGGCAATAGAGACCTAAGTTGGTATTAAGGTATCCTGGAACCTTGTCGTTTGAAAAGATCGTTTAGTTGAGAGGACGGTCGCGAAAAGGCGTAATTGTCTTTCCCCGGCATAAAATATTTACTGAACTACTTTCGAAACGAAACGACGTGAGAGGGTTGCTCAGTCGTGCCCGAGCCGCCTTTCATGGATCCACGCATCAAGGTGCCGTTCGTGCTGGTTCTGGTAGAGACAACGTTGGTCGTCCTCTTCGGTGTCTGCGTTCGATTCGATACGTCGCTGCAGCCGAAATCTTTACGTCTATCAGAAGACAGGGAGAGCCGCGTGTTCAACGAGTACTACCCTAGTGAGCCAATTTCGTTATTCCGAAACTTTGTCTCCACACCGTACAACTTGCGTTTGCACTGGGCACCGAGCGAGGCTTGTTGCTGGCCAATGGACGCTGATCTAGTGGAAAGTTCCCGTGACGTCACTGCGTGAAAAGATGTGCAGGCGGGCGTATATTTTACGGGCGTTGTCAGGCGGTTACATCGAAAAGTTGGCTTGCATTGAAATGCATGGGAAATAGAAAAGACCGACACTTAACAGTCGTAAGGTGCTGATTTGCTACACTCTGTGTTAGGGGAAAGGTGGAATTGGTAAAGGCTTGAGGAATGAAGAGTCATGCACTGTATCGTGGGAAACAAAAACGTGTGGGGTGACACGGCAGACCCCAGATCATTACATAACCATAAGCCGACTTAACACAACAGCTGCCTGTCTCTCTAGTATGTCACAAGGGCGCTCTAAATGCATATCATTTATAGGTCCTCTGTGACGTCACAGTGTAATATAAAAACGACGACTCGAGAATTTCTCGTCTTAGGACTCGTCACTGTTCCAGCCCCATGGTCAGACACCAGCTGTTGCGAACACCGTGACGTCATAAGGGTGTCGTAAACCATCGAGGCGACATCGAAGGCGCGGACACAATAACCCTAAGGGATGGCCCCATGAATGCCGTTCACTTAATATGAAGACGTAATTACAGGCAAAAAACAATCATACTTGTGTTGAAGAATGTGGGCGCCTCTTTGTGTATTTTACGAGCATCAATCGTTTTTCTTTTTTGCTTGTGTGCGTGTGGGCTTAGTGTTAGACCCATAGCGTCAGCATAGATGCCCTCAACTACTTGCTGCTTCAGTGGAGTAAGCACCCGAATTCTGGGCGTGCTTCAGTGTTCGAGGACGTGCACGTGATGGTGTACGTGGGCTTCGGCTACCTGATGACGTTCCTGAAGCGCTACGGCTACGGCGCCGTGGGCTACACTCTGTTGCTCAGCGCCATCGTGCTGCAGTGGGCGGTGCTCATGCGGGGCATATGGCACGTGCGCCAAGCCAAGGTACTCCTCGACGTGGAAAGGTGCGTGTCCCCTCCAAAGTTTGATTCCCATCGCTCTTCCTATCGGTCTGATTGGGAATCGTACCGACGTGCGCTCGCGTATTACTACTGCCGTGATGCACGTTAAAAGAGGGTAGCAGTGGTACTGTACTGGCACAATTTCTCATCAACGGCGGTGACGCCAGGCGCCCAAGGGGGCTGACTAACTTCCAACTATCTTAATTTACGCACCTCACAATAGTCTCCACCAGTGATGGCTGGCAACCTTGAAGTGACAAGGAAGTCACTGGTAATAACCTGCGGCTAACACAAGTGGCAATGGTGATTTCTTTTACCGTGCATATTAAAGCGCAAATTTCACTTTTTAACTATGTACCGCTGCGATGTTTACAGACAGTCCAGTGTGCGATTCCTACAGCCCAGCACGCGCATGTTCGTAGCTCTGGAAAGCGAGCAAAGCAAGTGCCATATGCACGAACGCTGACTCGGCAGCGGCCTGAAACCCTTTCTCGGAATGGTCTGTAGTATCTGGAACAGTGTTCCTATCTTTCAGGTCTACAACAGAACTATTACGCACTCCCTTAGAAGAGTCAGAACAGCCTTGTGAACAATCACGGCCATACACGTAGGCAATCGAGTGCCTGAATTGCCTAGAAATACTGTCTGTTTGAACATGCGTGGTGGAAGACACCTGCGTTAGCATAACAGGAGTGCTCTGGAATGCTCGAGTACTGCTGAAATATATAGAGGCGGGAACGTCGATACTATCTGTCCGTTCTTTAAAAAGCAAAACTCATATATGTGGTGCAGCATTAACGTTACCTATTGTCTGTGACACGGGAGAAAATAAACCAAGACTCAAAGGAACTTGACTACCGTTCTGGAACAACTCGATAAATGGCCAAGTTCTTCCAAGGCATGGGCGAAAAGTGATATCTGTTTGCCCACTTGTTGCTTCTCTGTAATATTTGAGACATTCTCTCGTACACCTGACGCCCGCTGATGTATTCCGTTACCCTTTAGCGGTGCTGTCTCGCTTTCATATGCGTTGTTCCAGCCTACTCGGCGCAGAGTTCTCGGTGGTCACGTTCCTCATATCGTTTGGCGTGGTCTTGGGCAAGACGAGCGTCGTTCAGAGCACCGTAATGGCCCTCGTGGAGACAGCCATTGGGGCCAGCAATGAATACCTCGGCGTCGAAGTGTTTCAGGTGGGTGTCTTCCAGTGGGGTTTCTAGACAACCTTGGTTACGAGAATCAATTAAATTACGGGGAGCGATATCCCTACACCTTGTGAATACCGACGAATTCTATATATATATATATATATATAAAGTCGTCAGTTTTAAGCCACAGTCAGACTGCTAACACATCATACAAAAGAAACGGCGTTCGCTGCATACATGATGACGTAATTTTCTGCAGGAAAGCCTCGAGTACGAAACACGTTTGCTTCATACATGTTTCATATATGTATGTGCTTCGAACATTTCTAAAGACAGCTTTTGTATGACGAATGTTGCCGGTATGATGAAACATATCGTAGGCAGTATCTGCAGATTATTTTATATTGATGTATGAGCAATGCGACCGCGACATAAAGAAAAATGTTATAATTTCAAAATGTTTTGTTGAAAAAAATTTGAATTTGTTTGATGTTTTTCCATAAAGCTACCCTATGACGGCGTTTAAAAATTTTTTTCATTGATTTTTGTTTCGAATGATTTATGATACCTCTTTTCTATGTAAGCTGAATAAGATCTATCACGGCCGTCAAAAGTTATATATATATATATATATATATATATAAAGGAACTCGAAGCACTCTATTATAGTCGAGCGCAGTGGCTGCAGTTGCTCGCTCATATTACCTTACGTTGAATCTATGTTTACAAAATTAAATTACAAAACAGCGAGTTTTTTTGTGTGTATTTTAACCGGGGCTTGACGAGGAGGATCAAACACAATGCGCACATCTACTGCCCAGGCCGTAGACCCGGGTGGCTCGATCTTTCTGCACACGTTCGGTGCCTACTTCGGCCTTGCGGTGGCGGCCGTCATTCACCAGAAGGACTTCGTCGACCACCGAAACGAGGGCTCTGTTTACACTTCGGACATCTTCGCCATGATTGGTAAGTGAGAAGTGATGGGTGAGTGACCACTTCGCCTGCTCCAGGTTTGACTGGGCCTGAATCAGGTGAGGCACGTTTTACGGTACGCTTCGTCCGACATAGTCTGTTTCATAGTGCGCGGAAAAGTCTACTCGCCTCGAAGCATTTTTATATACTATACATGGGACTGATTTGGGCGTTGATTTCATTCAATGCTGGTGGTAACAAATTTCCTATAGCAGCTAAAAATACAGAAAATTCGGTATGCTGTATTGTATTGTGACCATGGACGATGGTAGGAAAACGTTTTATATGTGATAAAGCCGATAGAACTCATACGAATGCATCGGTTTTACTTTAGAGGCACCGATAATGACTGGCCGACAGACACAGCGCTTCTGGCCTTGCACCATTCGAATACTCGTGTGTTTGATCATTGTCCTTACCTGGTGGACAAACTGAAGAGCTCGTGCTGAGGCAACGTCTGTTCTCTTTGCTTGCCTGACATTTTTATGTTTAACACCTTGCAGGTAGTTTTTATGTGTCGTAAATACAACCTCTGTGTTCACAACATCTGTGTTTAAAAAATATGGGTAAAGCAACTCATCACCTGCCAAAGGCGACAGACGGTTGTCGGGTGACGGATGTATTGGAAGATTTCTCTCGGCATGCGCTCAACAACGCACACGCCTGAGGCAGTTATGAGATTAATACTTCGGATACAGCGTTTCACTGTTGTACACACCGGTACAGCGTGTTTTTCAGATCGCGCTGGACAAGCACGTAGCCAGGATTTTGCTTCGTGGGGAGAGGAGGTCCCAGCAAAATGGAAGATTTGGGGGGGGGGGGGGGGCGGGCCCAATAGGTCCTCCCCCCTGGCTACGTGCCTGGCGCTGGATTCTATCATGCGCTTGGTTAGCAACACCTCACGTTTTCCTCTCATGTGATGTTTGCATGCCTGTTATTGTTTTTCGTGATTGAGGTCTAGTCTTCTGTAAAACGAGTTGGACATCTTGTCTAGGCCTTTGCTTGCGGCATCTGGCCTTCCTTTATGTGCACTCTCATGCGTAATATCATTGTATTTTGTTTCCCAAACACATAGATTGTCTGTCGCGTCCTTGAACGACAGGTACTCTATTCCTGTGGCTCTTCTGGCCAAGTTTCAACGGCGCTTCGGTGCACGGTGCCGAGAGGCATCGAGCAGTCGTCAACACGTACCTGGCATTGACGGCCTCCTGCGTAGCCGCTTTCGCCGTCTCGTCCAGCGTCGATGACCACGGAAAGTTTGGCATGGTGGGTTGCGCACCCCACAACGCCGGTTTTGGTGCGAAATAACATCTCGAACTATACTTTCCAATATAATTTTGGTCCGTACTCTATGCCACAAAACTCTGGACAACTCTGTTGAAAGTTGACCTCACGAAAACCTTTGTTGTACCTTTCTTAAAGTATGTGCCGTTTAAAGAAAACCGTCTTCAACTTGCTGGCGCATTGTAAAACTATGCATCTGAAAAAAAAAATCTTGTACCGCTTAATTGCGATCTATATTTTTAACTTTTCCGCAATTTACAGTCACCTCATGCGAATTCCAGAGATACCAAACTATCATTTCATTTTTGTTTAGGTTCACGTACAGAATTCAACGCTAGCAGGTGGCGTTGCCATAGGAACCACGGCCAACATTATGGCAGATCCACACAGCGCTATCATCGTGGGCAGCGTGGCTGGTGTCATTTCTGCTTTGGGCTACAAATATATCACGGTCGGTACCATTGATTTTATAAACAAATGAGGGATAAAAAATGAAAGCCGTTTACAAATCCCAGTAACGCCGAATTAGAGCGCAGCTCTCGAGGAGGAGGATGCAAGGGTACTGAGGGGAGGGTATACCCAAATACTTTACTAGAAGGGAATGCATTCCACTCCGCTCATTCGCATTAGACAGAACGCCTACAGCGCCGAATCCAGCCTTAACGGAGGAAAGGTCCGCGTCAGTCGAGTTTTTTTTTTTTTTTTTTCCCTTTTTTTGCAAATAAGTTATAATTATTATCAGTCGCAGACATTTTACGACTACGCGCTACGCTACGCCGGCGGTCGGTGCGCCAGTGCAAGCCAGTGTTTCGAGGTGTCAAAGAACGTCAAATGTGTTGCGTGGCATTTTTGGTGATACTTCTTAGAAACGATACACATGATATACCCCAAGTTTCAGCAAACATTAGCTTCGGTTTCTAAATTTTGCTTTTAGAAGAAAACAAAAACTCCCCAATTATGTGTATTTTTCCGTTTTGCGTTCAAGATACAATCTTATTTTTTAATTGCATATGTTATTTAAGTGATGTGTGCCACTAGTATGCTGTAGTTATGGACTTTGTATCCTATAAACTAGGAAACACTATTGTTCTTTCTTTTAAGGCGCTACCGGCTGTCGGTCGGCAAAGCATTTTGTCTCTAGTCTTTATTTAGTTGGCTCTGGAGAGCTGCTGCACCTCGCAAAGGCAGCTGCTCGTACCATGGAGGCCCGCGGTGCCGCGTCTAGTGAACATGATAATGTCATGAGCATATACATGCAAGATGACGACGACATGGATTGTTGCTATTGGGGAGGATGGCAGTCCGATTTGCATAAGTCCCGATTTTGTGAAGGCGGGTTGGGCGGGTCAGCAGCGAGCCATGGGGATCTGCCACTCTGTTCGATCGGTGTATGAAGGAGCCCCAGGAACATGATGGCGCAACAGCGCCATCATGTTCCTGGGGCTGGGACTGGGGTCGAAGCATCAGGCTCCAAAGAGGGAGCCCAGTGAAAGTAAAAGTTGCCGTCTCCTAGGAACCTAGGCCCAGGGCTCAGATTGAGGCACCGCCGTCGCCCGTCTCAACGTCGTCGTCGATGTGTTCTTTATTTATACGCGTTGCGGGATTCGACTTGCCTTACTGCACCACTAGGTCGATCCCACTCCGTAGCTCGATGTTGAGGACTGCTACAGCCGAGTCCGTCCGGAGGCTGCCGTGGACTCCGAGGAGAGGATTCACTCCAAAACACAAAGATACTGAAGAAGCGGGTTTATTTGGCTGTTGTGCCACCACGCTGTGCCCGTCGGCCAAACTAATAAAAGAAAAGAACGGAAAAGGGTCGGCGCTGTCGCATTAGACAGATTCACCTGGAGGGGGCCCACGCTGCCGCATTAGGCAGATTCGTGGAATGGGGAAAGCTCCAAAAAGAACGAGGCTCCGTGGCCCAGAGCCTTCCCCGGACGAGACCCAGGGCCGCCGTTCGCGGCCGCTTATCTAGCCAGCGGAAAGTGGACGCGCCCGGGGTAGGTAGTGTGGCTTATCCCGCAGATGGGCCGCGTCCACAATCATTTCCGAAGGGTGCGCCGGAGGCACTTTCACCCAAAAGGGCGAGGGAAGACACGCCCTCTTCGAGGAATGCGGCCTTACCCCCGTATCGGGATGACGTCGCCATAACGCTCCCACGGCCTGCTTGTGCTAGGCCTAGATAGGGAGACGGGAAACACGTGGTCCCCACAGCGTATATATGTATAAATAAAATAAGATAAATAAAAAGATACACAATCGAACGGCCAGTGGCGCCCCCACCGGATACTGCCTTTGAAGGAAAAAAAAAGTGAAAGCCGTTTACAACTCCCTGTAACACCGAATTAGAGCGCAGCTCTTGAGGAGGAGGAGGGAAGGGTACTGGGGGGGTGAAGTGACCTGGGGGGGGTCACGTGACCTTGGGGGGTCACGTGACGATGCCGATGATGTCAGCAGTGACGTCACTGATGACGTCATCCGTGATGATGACGATGCGGATGCCGGTGACGTCATCAGTGACGTCACTGATGACGTCATCAGTGACGATGACGATGCGGATGCCGGTGAGGGCATCAGTGACGTCACTGATGACGTCATCAGTGACGATGACAATGCGGACTCCGATGACGTCATCAGCGATGATGACGATGACGATGCGGATGTCGGTGACGTCATCAGTGACGTCACTGATGACGTCATCAGTGATGATGACGATGACGATGCGGATGCCGGTGAGGTCATCAGTGACGTCACTGATGACGTCATCAGTGACGATGACGATGCGGACTCCGATGATGTCATCAGCGATGATGACGATGACGATGCGGATGTCGGTGACGTCATCAGTGACGTCACTGATGACGTTATCCGTGATGATGACGATGCAGATGCCGGTGACGTCATCAGTGACGTAACTGATGACGTCATCAGTGATGATGACGATGACGATGCAGATGCCGGTGAGGTCATCAGTGACGTCACTGATGACGTCATCAGTGATGATGACGATGCGGATGCCGGTGACGTCATCAGTGACGATGACGTCATCGGGGAAGTCACGTGACCTCGGCGGGGGGTCACGTGACCTCGAGGGGGGGGGGTCACGTGACCTCGGGGGGACACGTGACTTTGGGTGTCACGTGACCTTGGGGGTCACGTAACTTTGGGGTGACCTTGGGGGCCACGTGACCTTGGGGTGACCTTGGTTACGCCGACGCCGACGCCGCTCAAGCCGGGAACGGGCCCCTAAAAGCTGCGCTCTAAAAGCCAGCCTCAGAACAAAGACCCTCCATCATCATCATCATCATTTACCGCCTGATAGCCGAGACCTCCCCGACGATAGATGGCTCTCGCCAAGCCCAGAATACCTGTCCACGCTGAGGCTATTGTCTTTTCGAGGAGTGGGATGTATTTTCCATAGTGAAGTATTTGGTATGCCCCTCCTCCCTCCTTCTTACCTCGTCATCCTGCCTGCTACTCCGCCACGGGGGCCACGTGACCTCAGGTGGGACGGGGGTCACGTAACCTTATGGTTACGCCGATGGCGACGCCGCTTAAGCCGGAAACGGGCGTCTAAAAACTGCGCTCTAAAACTAAACGTAGCATTGCAAATAAACAGTTCTGGAACATGTTAATCCACCATGTCCTAAGACACGCGCTTGAAGACATGCAGGTGTCGGCAGCTCAATCGGAGAGCAATCCACCTTCATGTTACTTTCAATTAGAGCTGTGTGTATGTGCTGTTGTGACCTACGACACTCCATTCAACCCTAAGCTGTCAGCGCGGTAGAAGCTGCGTGCCCATCAGACCAATCAACCACCTCCCTTTCATCTCCTTACCCCGTTGTGTGCGCGTGGGGCGTGAGCGCGATCACGGGGCGAAAGTAGACGTATATGACTGGTCCAACGCAGGGGCGGATCCAGATCCTAAACTCCGTTTTTTTTAATTTCTTTTAGGGGGGGGGGGGGGGGGGCGGGAAATTTGTAACGATACTATTCTCCCATTCTTTCTTGTGCCCCGGGGGGCCCACCCATGCTTAATTGCCCTCCGAGAAGGGGGGAGGGGGGCGGGGGGCGGCCGCCCTCGTCGCCCCCCTTTCGATCAGCCCCTGGTTCAACGAGCATGTAGCTTCTACCACACGCTCAGCTTAGAAATGAACAAAGGTATTTGGAAACGCTTTTACAATTGACGACACTCCCAATGTCAGAAGAGCGATGAATTAAAATGCCAAGATATTCCGCAGACACACATCTATGAAGGTGTAACATTACAACTGGTATATTGCCGCGACTTGAGTACGGCGACCCTCGGAATAATGTAAAGGGTTTCGGTGGTCGCAGCCCTTCCTCGCCCGGCGATGGAAGATCCATGACACGTGCGGAGTGAACAACCTGCACGGCATGCCGGGGCTCCTTGCTGGACTGATAAGCATCATCGTGGCTGCGGTGGTTTCAACGGACACCCACGGTGAAAGGTGACTCGCCGCCACGGTGAAAGCTGACCAAGCGAATGCGTTGTGCAGGGTCGTATCAGCTCAGCATCTGGTTCGCACATATGCTGCACCGCTATGCTTGAGTATAGCAGAAAACAAAAGAATTCGAGACGACGCTCGCTGCTGTTACTTGTATTCTACAAGAGCGGATCTTTTTAGTCACCTTTTCACACCAACGCAACCAACACCGACTTTTTTTCCGCCGACATGAACGAAATACAGCAAGTTCAAACCTTCATAAGAATCCATTATCCATTCTATAGTAAGCTTCATAAGAAACTTGTTGTTTTGTTGCAATTGCTGCCCCTCATACATAAAAAAAAAGATTGGTAGCAAAGCGTGTTTTATATGTCTGCCAGGAGTGTTTGGATTTTGTCGCCCTATTGTTTCAAGATTCTAACAACGCAAGTTTGAGGCCCTACGCGATGTTCGAAACTGTCGTAGAACCAGCTCTTTTAACCCGCTGAAATATATTTCGGCAATCTCGGATCCAAACATGATTCGAGACGAGAGGTATGCTTGCGTTCTGCTTTCAGCCTCTACTTGATCTACCCAGCGAGAGTGCCCCAAGCCAACTCGACCGAGTTCCTCGCCCTCAACACCAGCGTGGCCTTCCAGCCCGGCGCAGGAAGGTCAAACGGAGATCAAGCCGTCTTTCAGCTCTGGGCGTTGTTATCCACCGTCACCATCGCCATTAGCGGTGGAATTGCAACAGGTCATTTCGACAACCTTCGTCTGATTTTTTTCTTGTTAATAGGTTTTTAAGGGGACCATGAAATGATTTTTTTAGCTTCTTCCTCCTTAGTTTTCCTCCTCAAGTCAAAAGCGAAATGAGAAATGAGGTGGTCGTGACGTGCTTGGTCACCGGATGCGAAGACTCCAAGCTTGCACCGTGCTTTTTAAGCACACCGTGGAACTTGTCATTCGCAGGTGATGCTTAATGTCCTGACGGCACTCACTGGCCACGAACGCGAATCCAAATATTCTTTGACGGATTGATTGTTGACGAGCGCATACGTACGAGTGACGCAGTGCTTCTGTCCGATGCGTGAGCTGGGTTCGGCTGACGGGGTTGGGCACCGCGGATGTATATACCACAGTGAAAAGGCGGAGAGCCTTCGAAGGAGAGCAGGTAAGAAATAGTCCGGTATATCTTTGAATTTTCGTACGAAAAGTGGCTTTCGATTTTCGTGTACAATTTTTCTTTTCTAGCACACTAAACAATGTGAGTTCAGTAAGATTTAAATCTAAAACCATTTATCCCAGTCCAAAATTCATTTCATGGTCCCTTTAAATAGTACCTGCCAGCACCTAGTCTATCGTTCCCGTACGAGGAACTATCAACTGCCTAATTATCTGTCCTTGTTGACTTTCGCTGCGAACAACTGTGCAAAGAGTTGCAATCTCGTTCGTCAGAACATGCCCGCTGATTATAACCCGCTGTCCCGTGATTAGGGACCGATATGTGATTCCACTAGCGAAACAACAGCATGGGCTAACGGCGCTGGATGGTCCGAAGCTCATTATCTTAGTATCACGTGCTTTTTGTGTAAACACGCTTATTTTGACCGTTCTTCTTGCTATGCTTATCTGCAATTATGTGTTTGTGTATTTAGGATATACTGAAGGGTAGTCATTGGCTACGGCAGAAGTGTTTAAAATAAAGAAAACAATTACGCTGGAACTCTAAATATGTTCCTCAAATTAGAATTCGCGAAGAACTTCATTTGTCTCAAAAAGCGGTCATGAAACGATAAGTTTGAATTTCTTTCATTAGTACTGCGACCTGCTAAAAATAATTACATCGTGGTTAATATATTTTATTTTATTCAGGCATATGTACAAGTTACTGACAAAAAAAAAAGGGAACTTGATTTTGTTTTTGTCTTTTGCTTAAGAAGTAACTATGGAACGTTACTCATTACTGAGATTCAAAAGAGACGCGTTTCTTCAGCTCAAAACTAACGAATCACTTTCTCGTATACTTTGAACTTGTCGTTTATTTAACGCATTCATGGGCATGTTTTTTTATTTTATTTTTGGTGCTCTTTGGCCATGGAAGTCATAGGCACGAGCAGGGCTGAAAACCAAATATGGCAACTTGTGTTCTACACGTTTCCCTCCAGATGTATAACTAAATATTGTTACTCTCTATTCTGCCAAACAGTAACGAAAAAATGTTACTCGTTACTTCGTTATCGGATAATAGGGATTTTTCGTAGACCGCGTTTCTCTCTCCGCTAAGCCCTCCGTAACGAAGAAGCCGGTACCGCGCCTGCGCGTCGATAGCCTTGACTTTAGAGTTCAGGGTGTCGTAGCGGGTTGCGGAGGGCGTTGCGGGACGGCAAAAACCGTCTACGAAAAGTCACTATTGAAACGAGATAAAGGTAGCGCGTTACATACAAATCTTATTTTATCATGCCGGATAAGCGTATTAACGCAGTAAATATATTAAAATGACGACGTTGTCAGCTGTATGGGCATGGCTTTAAGTTGTAAATACAAAGGCGGAGTCTTATCGAGCAGTAGTATTTTATCTTTAACTAATTGCAGACCTCCTTTATTGCGCGTGTGCCTGAGACCTTCCGTCCCCCCCCCCCCCCCCTTTCCCTCTTTTTTTCTTTTTTCTTTATTAATCGCTTGCGCGATATAACGGCTTCGACGCTGCTGTCGAGTCCGAACAGCGACGCAAGACTCGTGTCTAACAATATTAAGTTTTGGTATTGTGTGTACCATGGATGGGCAGTATTTCAAATACAAGTATTTGAAATACGTATTTCAAATACGTTGCGTATTCTGAATTTGTATTTAATTAGAAATTGGGTAATGTATTTGACTTATGTATTTAAATACTAAAACGTGGGTATTTCAAAAACACTTGTAATTAAATACAATTTGGTGGGCACAAATACATCCCTCAAAACTATGTTCTGCACCGAATGCAGTGTCTCTCAACCAAGCACAAGCGTTTAGAGACTTTGTGATTACGGTTCTAGTCCAGGGCAAGAATAGTGACGAAATCGACGTTCACAGGCAGACTGGCTAATTAAGTGCCTGTGACAGCTTGTGATGCTTTCCAGCCTGATTTCCATCCATATTTTTGCCTAGAACATTCTAAATCCGCGGGTCGTCCAGATTTTCGTAACTGGTGCGAGGTGCAACAATAAAAAATTCTCTAGCTAGTGCTGCGCGTCTTGGTCGTCTCGGTTTTTTGTTGGTCTATACTAAAATGTAATCGACAAAAAAAGCTGCTTGAAGCTCTGCACTTTTTTCAACTATTACGTCCAAGCTCATTACATTTTTTTGTGATTATATTTCTATTACGTTACTAGAGCCTTGCACACTAACTCCCGAGTGTGCGATGCAAAATTAAAATGAGATACCCAGAAACCCGTTGCAGGCGCCATGAAGTCGCTGACGCAAATTTTGAGGAATGCATTTTGAAAAGTATTTGGAGGAGACCAAATACATTTGGTTGTATTTGTATCTTCTACTTAAATGCTTTTTTGGAAATGTAATTAGATTTGTAATTAGATACATTTTTGACGAAGTATTTTGTATTTGTATTTCGATACATATTTGCATGTATTTTGCCCATCCGTGTGTGCGATCAAACGCAGGTACTGTGCGTAAAGCCTGGTTCAGACAGTTGCGTTTGACTGGGTTGCGGCTGCGAGAAACCGGGACATCCCTGCGGCTTATATCGCGTGCCGAGATGATTCCTTGAATTAGTCTACACGCTTCATACGAAGCGCAGATGTGCCGGTGAATCGCTTTCGGTTCTCGACGCAACGCAGTCAAACGCACTCAAACGCAAGTGTCTGAACCGGCCTTAAGAGTTAGCTTTGCGTGTTCCCCACACTTCGCGTGCGTGGAGCAAAAAAAAAAAAAACGGAGTCTTGGCTTGGCGCATGGTGACGACGCGCATGCGCAGTGGGGAGCACGCAACGCTAACGCAAACGCACAACGCTAACGCAAACGCACAATACTAAAACTCTGTAGTTTGTGCGCGCACTCCGACGTAGTGCGATGACGTTGAAAACTCGGACTCTCAGCAACCATCCAAATGATGTCGGTTTACCGCAGAACCGTTGAAGCGACGTTTCATTCACAGGCTTTCTGCTCCGGCTGAGCTGTTTCGACCCCGTGGAAGTGCACGGCTTCTTCGACGACACGCTGGCGTGGGACGTCGCGGGACCGGAGCTGCCCATCTTCGTCGAAGTGAAGCCCAGGCGTCAGTCTCCGCAGAGGCGACCCTTGAGGTTCAAGACCAGAGTGCGGGCCATCATGCAGAATTCCAGGACGCAACACTGACACGAACGCCTCACTGGACGTACGCCGCAATGGTGGCGGACTTCTGCTTTCGCCAGGGTTCTTGTTTTGACAGAATCCTGCTAGAGAGGTGTTTTATTAGGGAGTTTTAGTAGATCGTTCTGATAATTCAGAACACAATACCCGATACTTTACCGATGTCTTTGTGCGCGTGTCGCATCGTTATCGGCTGTCGTTATCGGAGTTATCGGGACGATCTTCTAAAACTCTCTACTAACTTTGCACCACCTATGGTAGGCGGCTGGCTACCCCGACTCAGAATCTATATATATATATATATATATAAATAGAGAATTGAAACAACGGTGGAGAGGTCAGTTAGTGTACTTTCAGCATCGCAAAGTGCCATGCTGGGGTGAAGAGGAAACGGAAAAAAATATAGAACGAACCTTTCAAGTGTCGTGTCCTGTTTGCGAAAATCCGGTCTCGGGTTTTCGCAATGTTATAAGCAAAGTCATTTGAGTACAATTAAAGCAACTAATGCACGTAAAAAACTGGATCAATACCGAAACGGACGCATCTTTTGCCTGCAGCTGTGAATATTGAAAGTAGCCGCTAGCGTAGTTCTACTCTTTTTGCGTCGGAAGGTGGTGTGCAAAGCGTGCACCTTCCATCCAACGGAGGAGACTGCTACAGCTGTCAGAGCCTGCCACACCCACGTTTCACTTTAATGCCACCCTGGCGCATCTCGTTCGCGGCAGAGCCGTTTATACTGAGAGAGTTTGGCCTTCTTAAGGAGATTTTGGCAGTCTGACAACCACAGCAGCGTAGTCTGACAACCGGGGGATGACTACTTCCGTCCGCCATATTGTGGATCTGCCTCATAGGAACTCTACGCGATTTCACAGGAATGAACAAGACAAAGAAGTAACGCCATATTGTGTTATCGCGAAATCCGCTGGTTCTAGCGGCCAACAAGCTCCGCCCATCGGCCAAACTCTCTCAGTATAAACGGCTCTGGTTCGCGGTGGAAAGCTTGGATGGCCTTGCGTCCGCACTGTTTTGGCCACGCCCCCACGTCGTAACCAGCAGAATACCGGGACGCTGCCGGCCAATGCGTGGTCAGCAAATGAATTGTAACTTCCAGTACACCGTCGGGTCGGTTCCTTTAACACTTCATCAATCAAGTGTGTCATGTCTGGACCCATTCTGGCTAGAAGAGCGCACAAAAGACGAGGACGAAGTAGAAAGTAGAGAGCCGTGGCAGTAATACACGAACCTATGCTACAAGCACGACCATGTGGCCCTGAACAGTGCTTGCACTGCACGAGCGTTTTTTCTTGGCAGGGACGCTGAAATCCCGGAGCTCGCGCTTGTAGCTCCTGCTACGCTCACACTTATAAAGACACTATTTGTGGGTTCGTGGAACATCAGAAAACAGTTCTATAGCAAAATATTAAAGTGGGCTAGCTGGATATGCACTTTACAAATAAATAGCGCGAAGGACATGTCAAGTACACACTGACGGAACAAGCGCTAACTCACAACTTTCGGTTTAATACTCATACAGAAGACGAGAAAGAGGTAGCGTTTCTTTCCCTCCCAGACATAAATAAAAAGCGAAGTACAAAGGACAACACCCGGCTGTGATGACCTATATTCACCGGGTATCGCACAACATAAAAAGGTGGCTTCCAGGTATGACAGCCCTGTTGTATTTTCAGCACCTGGCAAGCTCAAGAAACTTTGTCCTAAGATAAAAAAAAAGAAAACAAAACAAACCCACAGGGACTTCACAATGAATGCGATCTGGGACGCAGGCAAACATATCTACGTACCTTGCCAAAGCCATGTTATAGAATAATAATAAAAATAATAATCTTTCACCTGTGGCAAAGTAAACGTAAGTCAGTCAGGCCGCTGCGTGAACACCAGGTTACGGGAACATGCTTCTTCACTCAAATCAACACCAACGGGACACCGTGCACGGAAGAGACTGTAACTGCAAACCGATACTAACATTGACAAAGGTCCTTCGAAGGTTCCGTGAGAAGAGATCAAGGGAACTATACTTCGTTTCACCTCATGTGCGAGCGAAGGCAAAGCTGGAAGCGCGAGCACGAAAGCTCCGTGCGTTCAGGCTTTGCTCGAGCGCGCGAGCTGGGGAGAAATGCAAAAAGCGCTGGTCTCGCGCTTTTAGCTTTGGCTCCGCTCGCAGATAAGGTGAAACGAAGTATAACTATACGAGGCGAGGACCATCAAAATAAACTACTGTCAGCAACGTCCCCTTTCTTTCTGCTATTTCATTTTTTTTTCTTTTTTAACGTAACATTCTCTTTCTTCTTTCTTTATCTTAATTCTCAGTTGTTTGAAAGTCACTTCCTCTTCCCATAAATTTCATTTTGGGAATTTTTTTTTGTTGTATGCCTAAAAAAAAGAAGAGAAAGAAACGCCACCTCTTTCTCGTCTTCTGGATGAGTATTGAAACGGCAGTTGTGAGTTGGCGCTTGTTCCGTCAGTGTGTACCTGACATTTGCGCTATTTATTTGTAACCGTTCTGTAGGTTGCAAAGCACACAGTCTAGCAAACTTTTACGAACTAAAAAAAAAGACATGCAATTATAATAGAGCAAATTACGTTAAGGGCACAGCTATGTCACGGTCAAAGAGGGTAAAATAACTTGGGCCTCATATTCGAGGGCGGTCCAAAGTGAATCCTTTGATTGCCTTGAATAGGTAAATAGGTCTCGTTAATTTCGCACCAACGACTTCACTAGAATGTGAATCTTCTGTTTGCCTCACCGTCCACGTCTGAAATGCCCAGCAGTTGCTTTTAATGTGTTATGCTATTGAGATCTTGGGTCGTTTATTTTTATTTTAGTGACACATCGCAGGAAAGTATATTACGTATAAAATTAAAGGCGCTAACAATAGACAAGGATAGTAAGTAAGGCAAGCAGGACGAGCGCTCACTATCAGTGGAACATTGATTGAGAAACAGCTAAAGCAGAAAAGAAAACACCAATAGAAAACACAATGAACTCATGACGCCTCAATAAAATCAATCTATTTTTGGTGCGGATAAATTAAGGGCTGGCTCACGCAGCCTTCCGTACCCTCTTTTTTTTTATAGCATTTGCTTCTAGCACTACCCTTGCTACCTTTTCACGGGCCCTCCCCGCAATCGTGCTATCCTAAAAGTTGGCTTGGCACGAGCAATATCTCAATGAAGAGGTAGATGTCACTAATATTTGTGGTTGTGTGGATATTTATACAGCGTGTAGTTGGTCAGCCATTTCGAAGTTGTGACGAGTTGCTCGTTGTAGATGAGCAATTTAGCCAGTGCAGTACAACCGCTAGCCTGGGGTCTTTAACGTGCACCACGCAGTACTGATACACGACCGCACCCCGGTGCGATGCTCATCCAGATTGAAACTGGCAGGGGTGGGGAGAGGTAGATGTCCTGTTGTTGATCGCAGTGATAGGTCAGGCTCGCGCATCTCTCAATTCGCACCGTCCTGCCTGGCCCAGAGCCACTGAATGAGCTGCGCTTAGGGTATCGGCACTCCGTTCCCCGACATTGTTGTGGGCGCCGCCATTTTGGTTTCTTTGCAGAGCAAACGCAACTGGCGATCGTCATGATTCAAAAGTGCGACTTCCTCAGCATTAGATTCGGTGTTATGAAGCTCATGTAATATTGCTTTGCATGTCGCGAACTGTTTAAACATTTCTGGATGGCTGAAAAGTGTTTCCTGTGATTTCAGATAATGCTTCAGATAACTGGCAACTATGATTTTAAGCTACAAAATAACCAAGTGTCGTTACTCTGAAGCGTAGCTTATTTAGTGGCACGAGCCTGGCCGATGTACACCCCACCGTATATTATAGTATATTACGTCATTTTCTTCGCTATTTCATATCGGGTATCGCGTTTTAAGTATATATATACGCCACGTCAGGTCCGTGACACGACTCCTGTAGCTCATTAAAAAAATATTGCGTTTTCGGGTGTGTGTATAATATTTTTTTTCAGCTTCCATAATTGAAACGGAGTAAAAAAATTAGAAACAAAAATTAAACAGATCGTCGCTGGGTTTATTTCAGTGGCGTCTCGAATTTCTGAACGGAAGATGAATTTTCTCAACGTAAATTGAAGAAACAGTTTAGGCACTGTATAGGCAGCTTTTTAAACCTTGCTACTTTTTATGGGATTACACTTTACGTTTGGGGGAGGGAAAGGGGGGGGGCTGAATATTATTGACAGCGCGATGATGAATAGGCATCGCTAATTTTTGTTATTATTAATTTTGTCTTGCATGCGGAGGTTTTTTTGTTTTGTTTTTTTGCGCGGGGTATATGGTGTTTCAAAAACACACTCTGAAGAAAAAAACAAAAAAAAAATCTGGTCGTAAAATAACCTTTAGGGTTTTTTCGGCTTGGCCACATTTTGCAACCTAAAAGTTCGCTTAAGCACCCCCTAAAAGGGTCCTTTGTGAATACATATGAGGGATACTCTTAAGCTCCCTTTTTTAATGCGAAAGAGTTCCTCATCGCCCAGTTGCCCTTCTAGTGCGCCAGGGGGCGATAGTGCTTGAGGGGGAACCGTTATTCACGAGCTGAAAGGGTTCTTGGGGCGTAGAAGTGCCTTTCAAGAACGGATGTTTTTAGAGTACGGACGAATGTGAAGGAACGCACGTATATTTTTATTGTCTTAAAAAAAAAAAAAAAAAAAACACCTCTTGTTGCTTGCACTAACCTATACTGACACGTGTTCAAAGTATACTCCGCTTTAAGAACACACTTCTGTGTCAGCAGACTGCAACGTTACTAGAGGCGGTCTGTTTGGAAACTCGCTTCCCGGCGTGGCGCCATTTCGTAGAGCGCGCGAGAGGTGGCGCTGGGGTCGCCTTAGAATCGACTCTCGGCGGTGTCTCGTTGTCGTCGTTGTTCCTCGTGTTTTCGCTGGTTTCATCGGTGGCTTATCGTAGACTCCTAAGCGTTCTTTTCTGGTGCCGGAAACGTTGAGTCATTCTCTAATCAATGAGAAAGCATGCCGGCCTGCTGGGCTCCCGACTGTCGCAGCGGGTACGCCTCACATGCGTCAAAGAGTGACGAGAAGCGCCACTTTCATACCGTTCGTAAGGATGCTGTGCGCCCGAAGGTATGGCAGACGCGATCTCTAAAAAAATGTTCTGGCTCACATAAAAGAAAAAAAAAAAAAAACTTTTTAGCGATTTTCATTTTCAGCTCGACGACATTATCGTCATTACCCACAAGTCATCAATAGGCAGACGGTTTTGATGGCGCAGCCTCGGTGGTTCTGCGGCAAAGCGCCGGCCTACGTATCCCTAGGTTACGGATTCGAATCCCGGCCGAGGTGCCCGCAATCTGACAGAGGCTTATTGCGGAGAAGGCGCCGTGTAACCGAGCTGTCGGTTGCACGTAACCCCATGTGGTCCAAATTAATCCTCAGTCCTCCGCTGGGGCGTGCCAGACATCTTTTGTTGATTCGGTTCGTAAAAACCCCAAAGTTAATGTTGTCTTGATGGCCAGAGGCCATCAAGACAAAATTACTTACTTAAAAACAGGATGCTGTGCCATGTCTGTGCCTGAATGTACCCGCACTTCTCTTGAAACCAGCCACGAAAAGCAGCAAACGAAAAGCCCTTGCCGATCGAAGCGTTGCTCTGGCTGTGTGAGTTACTTAGAAACGAAAGGCTATGTAAGCTTACTTACAGAAGCTGAGGCTTATGTAAGTAAGACAAGCGGTGAAGAAGGTGGCCTTTCATAGTAGTGTCTTCACTCAAGGTGTTTCATGCAAAGACTTCACGTGTCTACTCTTGTAAATAGTTTGTAAATAATTTTATTTCTGAGTGCATTAAAATTGTGACGAGTACTTGAAATGTTCCTGGTATGTGAGTCATTGAGTTGAATATAACGTTATTACAATGACTTACACATCTACAATATTAAAAAAAATCTACAATATTAAAAAAAAAGTGGATTTACAACTCGAGGTTGGTATCCTTTCAAAATTGATGCTTGCTGGAGGAGGATTCGCAGAGGATCTGCTGGAGCACTCCACGCTGCGCGGGTAGAACCGATCTCGCGTAGAGGCTTTAATTTCACAGCAACGCCAGCGCCACTGTTTCGCCAGCTACCGCAGCTACAGTGTACCGAAGCCGGCCCTCTCTCCTCCCGTGAATGCCCCTCGAGTTCCCAAACTGACCCCCACTAGAAACGTTGGCAGACTGTAACAAAGATCTCCCCACTCTTGTCAAAATGTCCCACCGATCTTTTAACAATTAGGCGGCGAAAAAAGTGAGACAGCAAAGGTTTTAATGAGGTCGCTTGAATGAGCAGTTATTTTATATATTAACGATAGAAGTAGCGCATAAGTTAACCTAGGACAAAGGAAGAGAAGACCAAAGGCTGCGCTCGGTCTTGTCTCTTTTCTTACCTCGTCCTCTTTTTATTAGCTTTTTTTTTGTAGAGGAAGAGTCATTAATTAGCCCGCCCTTCTTTATCTTCTAGTCTATACAGTTTAGTAATAATTAGAGAAAATGTATGCTTTTGTCAAGCGTACATGTACGCCATTGTCAAGCTTTGAAGCAGTTTGCTCTTTGGGCGTCAAAAGCACTTTCCTCCGCATTTGATATCATATATGACGAGAGTTTATTTTGCAAAAACAACGGAAAAAAAGAGAAAAGAAAAAAAGGTTTGCCGTTACATTACTACACAGTCCTAGGCTTTGTCAGAGGAGTACGTTTAGGAACGTTTAAACAATCCTTATTTTAACTTGAACAGTTTTTATTATGTTCCGATGTTTTGACATGATAAAATAGATCAGTAAGAGTCATTAATTACAAATATGTAGAACTAACAAGAACGTTTTATTTATTGCAGCATTTAGAAACGAGACACAATAAGGTATAGTGGACAAACGTTTTTTTTTTACCGCGGAGCTGTTAAGGTATAGTTTCCCCAGTATCGTGTCCATTAGCAAACAAATGATGACACTAAGCTCTGGACAGCTACCGCCATCTCTAAACGACGGCGCCAACCAGTCAACCGGCTTGCCGCTTGTCTGGTTACCGTCGTCGCTCACAGATGGCGGCAACCTCTCCAGCCTTTCCACTCTGACTTGCCGACTTGCTGCCGGCCATTACTTCCTTCCCACCATAGAACAGTTCGCTGGTCTTCCTTCTTCACCAGAGTGGAAAGGCTGAAAGATTTTTCAGAATACTGTCCTTTTTTTCTTTTATGTTCCATGTTTTTGTATATATTTTACATTAAAGTATAAAAAAATTTCAAAAATCGACAGAACAAGGAATTGACGAGAATATAATTTTATAGTTTGTAATATTATAAATTCTCTCAAGTCTGATTTTCTGTTTTAGTCGAATGCCATGCCATCGTCTCGTACATAGTTGTGCATACATCTGCTCTTTCTGCAGCCTTTTTTTTTTTTTTTTTAAGTGCTCTCTAGTTTTTTTTACGCGATTTGACAACAGCGACGAAATGGAAAGAGAACACTAGAACTAAAGATTCTGCAGGAATAAGAATTTATTTATGAGCGCTTATTTTGATTTCGAAATCTGACACAATGTAAAACAAGTTTATGTATAGGGAAAATAAAGATACTCTGAAGTTGTATTAACCTAACGAGTGATGGAAAGGAATACCAAAGCAAACAAAGTAGTAAAGTACGTGGGGGAGCTACTCAAAACAACTTCACGTATTCGCCTATAATTGAGAAAACCCCTAACATGACTAGCTATTCCAGGCCTTTATAGGGTCTGGAGCCTCGACACCGAGCTTACCCATCTCGTGTCATGGTGTACGCAAATGACGCGCCACAAGACGCGTACTGTAGCGCGCAGATGATAAACTCAGGGCAATCAGAGCGGCAGAAACGCTACACGCGGTGGTTCCCTCCCCGTAGATTAATGTGAAGCGAGACTAGCCGGAGCGATTCAAGTTCACACAGAGCTCAGTTTGCGTTATATTCGTACAACGACTTTTACGTGGCTGCCATTTTCACTGTATGTTTCTGAAGGGCGTACATCATGTGCGAGAATAACCGACGCGAGCACCGGACCATTTCTCTAAAAAGTGTTAATTATTTTTATTTATTACGACTTTATGCGCCATGCGGTAACTGTAGATTTAAAGGCAATCATTATCGGAGGCCGAACTAAATTATGCAACGTTCAATAAATGCCAGCGGGCGTTGAGAGGTGCACTGATCATTTTCTTCGTGTTCGTCGCCGTATACCGAAACTGTATACGCTGGAGAAACTCTGCGAGCGTTGCCAACGATGATGCCCAGAGAAGTGCCACACTCCTGACAGACATATTGTGGTCTATTTCAGCTGTGTGTTGCAAAAGCTCCCACCAAAGGCACTCCGTTTCACATTTAGTCCAAAAGCAGCTAACACTACAGTGTTGGCTGCTTTTGGAGTTGATGTGAAACTGAGTATACCCATGACAACGGCTAGGTGACAACTAGCAAACTCGGCGTCTTGGCGTCTGGGCCAAACGATGCTAAAATAATTTACGCGAGGCGCGACGCAGTTGAAATGATCAGCCAGTTGCGAAATTTTACGTCGTTATTTTAGAATTTAAAGACTCTTATTAAGGCTAGTAGCGTCGTGAACGGTGCTTATTCGGGGCATCAACGTATGCGTAAAATTTGGGGCTCATCAACACCCTACCCTCTCTTACCCTCCACCGTCTCTTAATCGTGCTGTGTGACATGCGGTATACTTTGTCACGCAGTGTACTACAAAGTTTGGCCCACCGTGGTATGGCCTGTCTTGTGACTGCACGAAGTTTAATTTTGGGGCTAAACGCCTTGTAGAGGGTGCCGGAAGTATGGGACGACAGCAGCTCTAAGTGTAGCGTTTCCGGAGCTCCGTTTGTCATCGCGTTTCAGCGCGTCGTGCCGTCAACCGTTGTGCGGGCTACGGTACTAACAGCCTTCCAGCGCCATGGAGGTGGCATAATCGGCATGGTAGGCCGGGAACTGGGCGTACTCGAGGGCGGCCAGGCCGGAGTCCGCCCTGGCTTGCCAGTGCTGCGCCGGTGACGGCTGCCGAGGGTCGCCCGGATCCTTGGGCGCCTGCTCTTCCAGCCGGGCCTTCGAGACGTCGGGTGGCGAGCTTCCTGTGTTCACCGCCTCGGGATCGCACACGAACTTGTACACGTACCGCTCGCCTGTTGGGGAAGCTCCGTTGCATGACTATATGATCTTATTACAGAAGCGGTCACTGTTAGCCAGTGTCGCTGCGGAGGATTTTGGTTACTTGTAACGCTTTGTCTTAATTATCAGCCGAGAAAGATTACTTTGTACGCAAGAACTGCGAGGCTAGCGCAAGAGCAGAACACCACGCGAATATTGCCACTCCTGCGCGCTAGCGCCTCATAGTCACTCCAATCGCGACTTCCTCAAATGAAACTTTTGCTCGCCTCCATTAGGGCAAATCGTCTCACGAAGTTAGATAACTTTGATAAATAATCGTCACGACCCTCTGTCGGGCCTTCAACTCCTTCCTCACAAAGGCATTTTCGGCAGTTGGATACTTTATACCCATGTTACGAATAAAAAAAAAAAAAAAAAAAACAGGGCGCGGGAAGGTTAAAAACGGTTTTCGTGTAAGGCTTGTCAGATTATGAGGCGCTGGAGAAAACTAACCTTCTACGTTAAGTCCTTATTTCGAACTATTTTTGTTCGCGTTCCGCCCATTGAAAAGCATGCGGAAGCGCCTCAGCACTAAGCTCGTATCACTGCGCCGCTGTGTTCTTCCGCAGAATAAAGGCCGTCTGCTTTCATAATCTCATCATGGCAACGAACGCCTAGTGACCTTTTTGGACGGTGCGTATATCACTGGGATGCGTGTTAACACTCCCCGCCTGCGTTCACGCCGCTTCGCGGCAACAGTCTGCCAGTTGCTCATTACAAAACTATTAAACTTTGGCTAGCAGGCGACGTTCGGAAAATGGCGTCAGCTGTTGCTGGCTTCACGCGGCGGTACCGTCTGTGCTTCCATTCATTCGGCGTTCGTTGCCATGGTAACAGCGATCAAAGCAGGCGGCCTTTATGCTGCGGAAGAACACTGCGGCGCAGCGATACGAGGTGCGTACTGAGGCCCTTCACGCATGCTTTTGAACAGGCGGAACGCGAACAAGAAGAGTTCGAAGGAAGGACTTAACGGAGAAGGCTGGTTTTGTCCAGCGGCTCACAATGTGACAAGCGTTACAAGAAAAACATGTTTCTAAACCGAAGTTTTGAGCTAGATTTTTTTTTATTTGTAACAACATAAGTTTAAATTAAAGTAACAATAAGCCGGCATTTTCATGTGTCAATGTTCGTAGCAGTATTCGAAAATAGCTAAGCATTATTGAGGGCGTTCGTTATGTATATCGCTTGCCTTTTAAAAGCTATCGCAGACTTTCTAACAAGGCACCTCGTCGGTATAGTAAAAGGATCCAGAATAATTACATTCGTCGAGGTTCCGAAAAGGCCGCACGTACCCACCTGCCACTTTCTGCATGATTCCCTTCTCGTAGTAGTACCTCAGGGACCGGCTGAGTTTGTCGTAGTTCATGGCTGGCCTGTTCTTCTGAAGGCCCCATCTCCTGGCAACCTGATGGGTGCCACGAAAGAAAGAGGAGGAGAAGAAAATACATTAGTTGTGAGGGGCGAATGAGGTTTTACTTGGTGAAATGCACACCTATACTCCCTTTCACATTACGTTCGTCTACAGCTAACCAAGCAGCGCGAGCCGGTGGAATCCATCACCGGCTAAACCCAGAAAAAAAGAGCACGATATCACGGCACATTTACTCTGCGTGAGTGGTGTAACTGGTGAGAGCAAATGCTCAAAGACGATGGCCACCATGACGGTGCACTTTTGATGCTGCTTGATTGGATCCTTGAGATGGTAGCGTTGGCTGCAGACGGCCCTTCGTACGAAACGGAGCATAGATCTCACAAAAAGGAAGCAAAGAGCAATGGACATAGTGTGTAAGGGTTCGCAGGAGAGTGTATCTGAAGGACGGAAAACGAAAGGGGAATAAATCACGAAGGGTTAGTAGATAAGCGCTCAAATATATTTTCGTACATGTTATTTTTTTTTTATTTATTTAGATGGCGTAGTTGATGAATTTTGGGCGCCAGCCGGAAAATGCTGATTGAAATATGCCGACAACGAGAATGCAAACTCCGTTTAAATCGAATCACGCGGAGCTCCGCTTGTGTGTACACTTCTGGTAGCTATAGCAGAGTACACTGTAAATTGGCGTCTCATGTAAATATTCAAAAACTTGCTACAGCGAAGTTTTATTTCTTGTGTCCTGTCTTACGTTTATCGTTAATAAAGTTGTAACCGGACCTTATAAGCTATATTACCTTGAATGACGTAACTTTCACGCAAAGTAAATTTTCGCAAATTTCGCGACTCGAAAAATATTGCGAAAAATTGTTAACCTGAATGTATCAAGCCATGGTAACAAATACATTGGATCCCACTCCCAGCGGCGAAATTTTGTGCCTGCGAAAGATTTCCGAAACACGCACATCGCAAAATATCGAGTCTTAAGCCTAAACATATTTCTAGAGAAAATGATAAATTCACAACTTTTACCTCCTACGCGTTTTACGGTATCGACAGAAATGGACAGAAAGCTACATCTTCATCAACCCCACCTTCTATTATCAGGTCGGCGGATTGCAACGCGCGCTTATTTTGGGTCAGCACCCTAATTGACGCTCTCGCTCACAGATGGCGCAGGGAGTCTGAGATTCATAAATACCGCGGGTTTCCAACCATGGAGTGCTTCCAACCACGGGTCGGACCGGTGTCACCTCCTCTGGGTGGAAATGGCAGTCACTCTGGTAATTCATTTCGCGTAGAAAATGATAGTTTGCAACACAAACACAAATAAAGCACGAAGTCACTACGCATTGTTTCCACTTGATTGGATCAGTTGGCGGTTACGCACTTATAGGAACATGAAAAAAAAAATATCGTGATGTGGTGGTTTTCGAGATGGTTGACTGGCACCATTGACCCGCAGCGTTGGCCGCGCATGCAATGGCACAAGGGTAAAAAAATTAGGTGTTTTGATGTCTGATGTTTTTTGCCCATGGCCCTGTTGGTTTGTAAGGATGGCCGGGGAGGAGAAAGCAGACGGAACACTAAAGAGAGAAAGAGGTTTCCCCGTCTTTTCTTCAGCGTTCCGTCCGCTTCCTCCTCCCCGGTCCGTCTTAACCTCGCCGTACCTCCTTGAGTTGATGTTCGGGTGAAATGATTAAGGTTCAACTCAGCTTATTTTCTTAATTGAATCGGCTTTCTGCCAAGTCCTTTGAGTTCTTATGCGTTTGTGTAAAGAGTGTTCTCCCTTTCTTTCTTTTGGTTGGGGGGGGGGGGGGGGGGAGGGAGGGGGCAGCGAAACCCTATATAAAGACGAACTTCTGTGAAATAAAACTCAGCTGTGTTTGAAACTTTGTGTGTTGTTGTCCTTCACCTTTTCCCCAGCGTCGGGGGTTTGTCTTAAATTATGTTAAACCTTAACCAGCTCGTTTCCGCCCTAACTTTTCGTTCATAAAAGCTCCTCAAGTCACGCGACAACGGCTATATTTTTTGCAACGCTTAGCTTTACTATACTTCGTTTCAGCTTCCATCCGAGCGCAGCCGAAGCTACGTGTGGCCGGAGCCAATCACGCGCCGGCAATAGGCCACACGATCTCGCCTGCACTTTTGTATAACTCCGCTGCGCCGCCGGTCGGCCGCGCCGCCCGCGCTCGCCGAATATTTCGTCTGCTACGGGTGTATCAACGATATCGTCTGCTACAGGTTTAAAAAGTGCCCTTTCACGTTCTGAAACTTAGTCACAGGGGATGTCATTACGTAGGCTGGCCGCTGGCATCTGTGTCCGAGCTTTCCACCTGTTCGGCATAGTTTCGAGTTGTAAGTACACGTTGGAAGGTCCCCGATGACCCGGCCGTTGATGTTTCCTTGTATTGTTTGGATATACCAAAGCTCGAGGCGCAGTCCTTTCCACCAGCTTCTCGGCGTTCAATGTGGTCGGCAGGTAAAAGGGTGCCCTGATTTCGCCGCGTATCTGAATTGTAGTGGCCCGGACGCTTTGCTTGTTTACAACGCATTCGCGGTACGACGCGGCCGGAGTCTCCTGCCAAATTTGAAAGTAGACATTCATTACGACTTCTCGCGCCTGACGCCCAAACGTGCTTTTGCGAAAGGGCGTTCTGAAGCGCCTCGATGAGGAAAGCAGCGAAGCACATGATTCGGCGATTACGGGAACGAAATCACACAGAAAAACCGAGCGCTGCAGCCGTGTTGCCAGCGGATATACATGTTTTCACCAAACCACATGCATTTACATATGTTAATAGAAACATAAACTCCAGAGATTTGATTCCTTTAGTTGCAAATCATTCTTAGCAGTACACATCTGGAACATTGTGCAGTTTTTTACGCACAAAACAGTTATTTTAAAGAAATTACTTTTGTGAACTACTTTGTGGTGCGTAGGAATGCTCTTCTCGAACTTGCGAACCGTCCCTCAGCCTTTGGCTGCGCTCGGACGGAAGCTGAAACGAAGTATAGATTAGCTCAGTTGTGGAACTCCCGCAGAAGTAGGTACCCCCCCCCCCCCCCCCCCCCCCCCTGTTCCTTTTCAAAACTGTGGATTCCATGAGTACAGTGAAGCGCCATCTTCACGCTATGCTTCAAAATATAATTTTTCGCCAAGGCGCCGTGATCTTGTTGTCGTCACTTCCATTATGGGCGAAAACATTGTTTTGCCGTCGCCACGCCAATAGAAGGCATTAGGACCATAAACGTAACCGACACACATTCTCGTTTCGCCTCCCCTCTAGTTTTTTACTATTTGCCGGTTGGAACGTTTTGATATTTTTTCGTCGCCCATACCGGATATGCCTATTGGCGGGCGGGGGGGAGAGTAAGCGGAAAAGGTCTTTATGTGATACACTCAAGGAGGATAGAAGGGTAGGGGAGGGCATGACGTCAGCCGCGTAGCCTCCACAAGCCATGCTTCCTTGACGCCTCGCCTCTCTCTCATTTTCCTCCTTACTCTCCTCACTTATCAGCCCAACATGATCGCATCACGTAGCTAGCCTTCGTCTAGCCTTCGTTCTGATAAAACCTACCGGACGGAGCGCACGCAAGCCTGCAAGGAATCCTTCTGCAATCAACCATCCATCTCGCACGTGACATGTCACGCGCACCAATCACCAGAGAGATCTGCGGTCACGTTGGGCACAATATCGTTTAAACTCTTTATGACTAGGCTTCACAAGTATTGCAGCGTGCCCCCTCCTATAGTCGGTTACAGGTTAAGAAGGTAGCGGCAAATGCCCCTCAGAGGGAATCATATATCCCTCTGCCACCTTCGTATCCAATAGCGTCCCATCGTTTCCGTGACGTCGCGGCCAACGCGCGAGGGGGGGTCTTGCATTTTGTACATATTTGCTTTATCTTTCGACTTTGACTTAGCATTGTGGAAGCCACGAGAGGGAGATTAGAGTTTTGCCCCTCCGATGGAAACAAATACGACTTTCGGGGATTAGCTTCCCCTCCGATGGATACAAAGGCTGTTTTCAGGGGCTCGGTTCCCCCCGCAATGAATACAAAGGTCGCTTTCTGAAAAAGTGGGATTGGAGACAAGTGGGAATCCATTGAAGCGGAACAAGGAGCGTTTCCAGTGAACTCTTCTTTCGACTGCGGAGAGATTTGAAACGGGCGCATCACGCTTGTGGGAGGAGCTTCTCCTACCTTCTTGACTTGTGTACACTGTAGTTACCTTAGCACACGTTCGCACAATGGTGTCGCATCGAACGACGGGAGGCGGACCGTAGGGAGAGAGGGGGGGGGGGGGGGGAAGGGCGGGAGAATGTAACTGAGTTAACCTCTAAAGTTAGGAGCTCTGCACAAGACACCTGACATTGCGTCGATTGTGACTTCATAAAAAGTGAGAAGACAGATGAGCCGACTGAAGTTACGCATTCTAATACCGGAGACGAAGGATATATGACACAGAAGAGAGGACACAAGAAGGATACGTCATAATTGAAGACCCTATTCTTTTCTGTTATCATCAAAAGGGGAAAAACAAGTTCCTGTTCTGTCTTTTTTTTTTTTGTCATGCCTTATTCGGGATGGAAGTGATATTTGCTTTATGGTAGAGGTGCGTAAGGTTCTTTGTCAGAGACTCACTTAATGCGTCTTTTTATTTAGTCATAGAGCGAAGTTGAGATAGTTTTTTTATTCTTCTCATAGAATTTCGAATGGAAGGGTATACAACCACGCTAGAGCGAGAAGTACAAAAAGTTCACTTTTTCCTGTGAACTGCGTGCCGAAAGATACGAACGAAGTAGGGAAACCTACGTCAAATATGAGCGAAGGAATTATAATGCAGTTGGATCTTTTCACCCGTCCTATTCCATAATCGTCAAAAAAAAAAAAAAGCATCAAAACAAGCGCAGTAGCGTTCCAATTTCGTTCAAATAACCTCTAGTGAACTCAACGGGACATCTGGTTTCCGTGGTGTAGCGGTTATCACGTGCGCCTCACACGCGCAAGGTCCCCGGTTCGATCCCGGGCGGAAACAGTTTTTTTTTTTTTTTTTTTTTTCCTAGTTTATATGCTCTTAGGTTGATATTCGATTTAGTCTCTCACGTTCTATAAATCATAAATTACTTTTGTTAGTTTTTTTTTTTGTTTTTTTTTTCGTTTGAAGCTGTAAAATAAAAATAATGATCCGAAAAAAAAAAAAAGACGCCAAAGATGCTTTTTTTTTTTTTTTTTTTTTTTTAAATAACAACCACGAAACCGGGGAAAAAAAAACCCCAGGCAAAAAGAGACAATACAAAAAAAAAAAAAAAACAGAAGAAAAAGTCACAAAAAACAAGTAAATAAAAATGGCAGCGACTTTTACCTTTTAAAGTCCTATGATGCATGAAATGCAGTGCTTAAAAAGCAATTATTTTGATTTGTTTAGACTTAAGAGAACTATATATATTTTTGTAGAGGATAGGTTCCGTCACGACGTGTCACGTGACATAAATTTTTTCGTTAAATTTAGCGAGGAAACTACATTTGTGTATAGCTCACGTGACGTCAGGTTACGTGACATCGATTTTCCCGCCAAATTAAGCGGGAAAACTTAATTGGCGTATACGCCACGTGACGTCAGGTCACGTGACATCAATTTTTCCGCCAAATTTAGTGGGGAAACTGAATTGGTGTATAGGTCATTTTACGTCAATTTTGCCGCTAAATTTAGCGGGGAAAGAGAATTGGTTTGTAAGCCCCGTGACGTCAGGTCACGTGGCGCCACATTTCCCGCTAAATTTAGCCGGGAAATTGAATTCCTGTGTAGGTCACGTGACATCAATTTCCGCGCTAAATTTCACGAGAACTTCTCGGACGGACGAACAGATTTTTGAGATCGGGGGGTAGCGTCAAAGTGCGTTTCATGCATTAAATAATAGAACCCTAGAGGCAACTTGCAATCTAGAACGGAGCTCAGTGGTAAAGAATATACCACTTAGAAAACAATTCCTCCCTTTAAACGTCATCACTAGTGGACCTCCCAGCGCCGCCTAGCTGGCGTCAGCGTCGTCACCCGCGCCTCCTGCATCGTCTCACAACGAGCGCGACGCCAGCAGACGGCGACGCCAAGACGTATACGCGTTTGCCTCTTTGACTCTCGTTGAGCCTTTGTGTTGTTTTGCCGCTTGGGGCCGGTCGTGGATCCACTAACGATGACGTCACGCGCGGGCCTTCTTCCTTTATGTGGTGTTAGGGGCGGACGCACCTCTTCGGGGTCGGTGAGCTTGAACTCGAGTCCCCTGCCGGTCCAGGCGATACAGGGCGCGTTGCCAGGACTCCGGAGCAGCGCTGCTAGAAACTGCCACAGCTGGAGCGAGCCCCTGCCGCCGCCGCTGCGACCGTACCCTGGGCGCTCGTCGCAGAACGGGGCGCACGACGTCGCCGAGGGGAGCTGCTGCTGCTGCTGCGGCTGTTGTAGGGGCGACAGGGAGTGGCCCGCGCACGGCGGGGACACCGGAGGTGACGGAGGCGGCTCGAACTTCACCGGAGACCGAACTGTCGATGAGGATAAATGGGGCAGGTAGAGTGAATCCGGCTAGTCTATCTGAAGACGTACTCCTTTTGGTTTATTCTCTCCGCAGACACACTGGTTATACATCGTAAAAAAGACACGGAGTTCGTTGCGGAAATATAATAATAATAATAATAATAATAATAATAATAATAATAATAATAATAATAATAATGTTTATTGGGTGTTCAAGAACAGCCAGTAGTCTTTTTGTTGAAACACCAGGGAAACATTGAGAGAAAGACTAAACAAGAGAGGGAAATCAAAGCGTAAAGAAACAGAAAAAGCAACACGAAGACAATAAGACAAAATAAGTGAAGACACACATTAGTGCAGATAAACACACTCAATCAGTGCACAGAGGTACACCCGCAGGCGATATGAAGGTGAACGCCGGACCGTCGACCAGTCCGTGCTATCAGCGCCATGACGCGGCTGCCGTGGCGGCTCGCTTTCTTATCGCCCTCTTCGCCGAGATTAAGCGCTTGGATCAAGTGTTGTTCTCAGCTCTGCTGCTACTCCACGCAGAAAGCGCGAGGATTGGGAAAGGAGCCTTTCAGACGCTATCTGTAGACAATGTGATTTAGTAGTTTTTTTTGTTATGATATGTGCTAAACCGGTAAGCTGCGGAACAAATCAAAAAGTAACTTATCCTTTCTGTTTCTTAGAAAGAACAGTTATTAGCGTTCGAAGTTATTATACTTCGTTTATGAGCCGAAGGGCCAATCAAACAGTGAAAGAGGCACAACGTCGTGGCGTGCTTTCTGCAGTTGATAGGACCAGCCGGTATTCGCCGTTCCTCTGTGCGTGCTCCTCTGCCGGCTAGTTCTATAAAGCGCAGAGAGCACGCCATGACGCTGCTCTTTTTGCGCTGTATGATTGGCCCTTCGGCTCCTAACATAGGCCACGCCTGGAGCTAAACTCAAACGAAGTGTAGCGTTCACTCATGAATGAAAAAAGCGGTTGAGTCACTGAGAAACCATGCCGAAGAACGTCCATGCCGAAGAACGTTCAAGTGCAATGTGCAAATCATTTGCCGGCAATGACGGGGGCACGTTGCCCACAAAAAGCGATGCCGAAATCGAAACCCACTTCCACGCTTTCTGCGGGGAGTAGCATCAAAGCTGAGAACAGCGCTCAATCCAAGCGCTTAATCTCGGCGAAGCGAGGTATAAGAAAGCGAGCCGCCACGGCAGCCGCGTCACGGCGCTGATAGCACGCACCGGTCGACGGTCCGCCGTTCACCTTCATATCGCCCTGCGGGTGTACATTCACCAGTTCGATCCAGAAACAACCTTGGCAAAAAAATAAAATAAAAAACACTATCAACTGCGTTACATTAGCCTTAACGACGCGCGAAGACCTGCCATGCTGTCATTGAAAATGTCTAGTTTTTCGGCAAAGTCACAATATTTCAATTGCCATCCGGGTGACAGGGTTCAACATATTTGCTGCAGGGGGATAAAATGTGCTACTATACACAGTGGTGTAGTGGGGCACACGCAACGAAATAGAGGGTAAAATCTCAGGAGAATCAGTCTAACCGTGTAAACATTTCAAGAGAAATAAAATGTCAGCAGAGAGCCTGCGGTGATACAAAGTTTCGATGTTGTAATAGTTACAGACACTGGAATAATTGTATGGCTCGTATTGCAGGTAGCGGAAGCTGAGAATGTAGGCAAATTTATTTTGAACGCAATCAAGTAAAGCTTCATTTGATCTCGTCAACCTATTCCAGACTACAAATGCATATTCCAAGCGGGATCGGCAAAGACTTTTAAAGAGTGTGATAAATACAAAAGGCTGCGAGAATTCACTCGTTATGCGGCTGATCGCACCTAGCGTTCTCATAGTAACAAATGGTGTCTCTACGTGAGAGCGAAACTTTAAATTTGAGTCGAAGTAAACACCCATATCTCGAATTGTTTCAGTACACGCAATTCTCTCGGACTTATTTTTGTAGGGGAACATAGTTTGTCCCGTGTTGCGACTGTAGGTGACAACCTTTGTTTTTGTTCTATTGAGTACTAAATTATTGACCGAGCACCAGTCTCTAATTCTGTCGATATCTCCCTGCAGCTCGTGGCGGTCCTCCTCTGACTGTATTTCTAGAAATATCTTCATGTCATCCGTCTGAAAAACGGACGAGTGGAATAGGCATGACTGTACGTCAGTGACAAACAATGTTAACAATAGGGCTCCCAGAACCGAGCCCTGGGGGACACCAGAAAAGGTGTGATATGAAGAAGAGTTCACACCCTCAATTCTAACTCTATTCTGGTGTCCTCTTAGGTAACAGGAAACCAAGTAAGCATTAATGGACATGTAAAGGCGAGCGAGTTAAACATGAATGCTTTAAGTCGGAAGAATAAAACACGGAGGACAAGCGTGGTTGTCCTGTGCTTGTCATCCGTGTTTTATTCTTTCGATTTTAAGTCGGCATTGCTCCTCTCATTCCCATTCGCCGTAATTTGTTCAAGAGAAGATTATGATCTACTAAATCCAATGACTTCGTCAGGTCAAAAGAAATTACATCAAGCTGACTAAGATTGCTCACAATCGGCACAGCGATATTCATAAAACACGTTAAATTGGTTACTGTGGACCGAACCGGGCGTAACGCCGTGCTGGCATGTGACAATGGTGTTTCTAAAAACAGTAAGGCATATATAAGTGCACCACAGCTTCAAGAACCTTTAAAAACACACAAAGTAACGACACAGGTCGGTAGTTCGAGACCTCCGACAATTTTCCCAGATTTATAAACAGGTACAACGTTAGATGTTTTCCATAAATCTGGGAACACACCAGACCTTACTGACGTATTAAAGACAGTTGCCAGGGTAGGTGCGAACAGCTCCGCGTAGGCCCTAACAATGGGACCAGGAAGATTGTCAGGACCCACCGACATTAAATTACTGAGCTTCTTTATGATGACCAGGACATCTGACACCGTAATATCGACCCCAGAAAAGATACCGAGGAAGATATCTTCTTCATCAGGGCAATCCCGCTTACTGTAGCATTTGTAAACGAAACTAAAATAAGCTGCAAACGTGTTCGCGATATCTGCTGCAGCACTAATAAATCGCTCGCTTTGAATTAAAGTTATTCTGGACTTTTCTTTTTGTCCAGACCTGCCCTTTACGTAGCGCCAAACTTCCTTCCGATGGTGGGCGAGGAGGTCTTTTGAACTGTTTTGGAGGTCGGTGACGTGTATATAAGACGATGGTTGTTAAATAAATTTTCAAGCTGTGTTAGAGACTTCGTTGTACTGTCCGTTTTTTTATTTTTCCTTCGTCTCAGGGTTATTATGGATTCCTTCCGATTCCGGTAGAGACTAGCCTCCACATTGTCCTTGTACCTGTGCCGATCCGCCTTGAGCAGAGCCTTGGTGTGTTTCCTTAATCGACTAAACTCCTCGTACCAAGAAAACATCCTTTTTTAGCATACATTCTGTGAGCGATAGTCTTCCTTTTCAGGCTCTTCCCCAGCTCTGCTGAGAACCACGAGGGATACTTTTGTAGGGAGATCTTTTTCTTTTTTTTTTTTAGCTATATATATATGCTTCGCTATTCCCTTTTTAACCACACCGGTCATTGCGCGTACCTGATCATTAACATCCTCAAGCTCTTGAATGGGGGTCCAATTAGCTTCTGCATAGAAGTGGTATAAATTTACGTAATCTCCACGGCAATAGCAGAACTGTTCCTGTGCCAATGATGTAGGTCTTGGTTGAGCCAATCGCATGTTTATACAAAATACGGGGTGATAGATATCGATAGGTACTGGCGAGGCCTCTACATGGTTTACTTTAAGCATTCCAGCATCTGTAAGGCAGAGATCCAGAATGCTTCCTGTGCAGTATTTAATATGGTTATACTGGGAAAGTCCCAGGAATGATACCATGCTCAGGAGCTCTTGGGTTTTTTGTATTAAAAACGAGTTCGAGGAGTTGATTGTCTCGCGGGGAAGGAGCGACCAGCCACACCGGAGTCCGGAACCCAAGTGTTTTATTATCACTTCTCTCGAACTAAAGATAACCCCGAGCATGCGCACTAGCATGGACGCGTTGCCGCGGGGCACGCGAGCGAGAACTGTCGTGTCATCACTACATTGATGAGATTGTTTTGCCAATCAATACATGATTTATTAAAGCCACCTAGAATAAGAACATTTCCATTTATGCTGCGCAATTCCGTCTCGGGCCTAGCCGAATTATCCGAAAAAGAAGTGGCTTCTGTTTGGGGAGGCATGTAAAGATTACCTATAAACATATTTTTAGCTTCGTTAGTCTGAATTTCATTCCACCCAAACTGATTCGTCAAAAACCTCCAAAGCAGGCCTTCTATAAGTCACCGTATTTTCCTTTACGGCTATCGATGCGCCGCCACCTCGACGGTTTTGAGTGGTCTCATATTCCCGATCTCTTCGATATACCTTAAACGAGGGAGGAAAATAATCCGCGCTTGCAATTTAGGATCCCAGCCATGTTTCGCTGATACAAATATTGGAGTAGCAAGAAGAACAAACGTTAGAAAAGAATCCCGGTGCTTTTGTTCTCCCATGAGGTTGGGGGATCACTCTACACGTTCACACTTATCATACACGTGGCTAGCCGTCAGCAAGGCCCTGGAGTTCCCTGAAGAGGCAGTAAACGTATTCGAGTATTTGATGCTGGATCCTTGGACCTCGGAGCTCGCCGATCCGGCACGGGCCAAAAAGGACTCCATATTTGAGCGCGTTTCTCAGAGCGTTCACGGCGCATACTCAGAACAATTCCCCGCTTCTCCTCTGCTAAGATCGTCTCTATGGTTTGAACTAGAGGTTGCACCAGGATTGGGGTATAGCCTCTTCCTGTGAAAGCTCGCCACCTGCCCGCACTCCCAACCCTGCTCTAAAAAATAAAAAAATACAATTTCAATTATACCGTATTCTTTCACCTACTGGCAGGTAACGAAAGTGTTAGATAGGAGGTGCTAAAGCTGCGAAGCATAGTCAGGTCGTCAAATGGTTACGCTTCTTCGCGTAGAGGAGCAGTTTTGGTGAGTGTAAGCGTAGGTATATAAATCTTTGTTCAGGAAAACGTAAAAAAAAGGAGATCACCATTGATTTAAGTTATCTACTATATCAAGCTACCGTTATGAGTAGGGTTGAATATACTCTATACAAATGTTGCACTTGTTCTCCAACTGTGGCGGTCATGGTTAGTTACCAATTTCCCCCGTTAAATGGGAACGTTTGTTTTTTTGTTTTTTTTTTGTTTCCAATGCTGAACTCGGCTTGCTGCAAATTTTTGCAGAGATATTCTAGTTCGCTTCTAGGTCTCCGCCACTGAATTGACTAGCGGGTCAGTTTGGAGCACTGTCGCG